CCTATTCAGCCTCTCCCTATAACTCAAACCCTCTGGTCCCACCAACATCCTTGTAAATCTTTTCAGCACCCTTTCAAGTTTAATGACATTTTTCCTATGAAGGGCTTCAAGAATTATACGCAGTAATCTAAAAGTGGCCTAACCAATGTCCTGTACAGCCGAAACATGATGTTCCAAGTCCTGCGCTCAAAGTCTAACCAATGATGTGTATTTGCAGAATTATTTTGTTTTCATTTTGGAGGTTCAGCTCCTGGCTTTTTTTCTAAATCCATACTGTCTCGAAGCCATTTGACAATCACAACCAAACTTTTTGTCCTCTGCTAGTATCCAGACGCGACACACACATTTGGTTGCTTCCCAGAAGTGACTACGATAGCTCTCCAGTGCAAGGATCCTGGCTACGTTTATTTTTCCATGGCTTAAATTGCTATAGAAACATATCATCACGTCAGTATTGAGTCAGCTAACTAGAAAAGAATTAAAATTGATTCTGGGTCCTTCCTGATGTCAGACTCAACCACAGCAAGTTCACTGAAGTATCAACCTGACTGATTGGGGACCCATGTATTGTTTATTGAATCTGAAATTGACAAACCATCTACCACACTAAATAGCTTTCTTCCCACTTTTAATGTGTAACATGGATGCTAACTTAAGCCTCTAAAACATCTACAAGTAAAAGATCAATCAAGGATGAAAACGCATGCACCATTGTTACCATGATGATGATGACATGTCTACAAATATCTCAAACAATTGTTTTCAAATTTGTGTTGGAACAACGTGCTGTGCAGTTTTTCATTTATTTGCTTCCTACCCTTCTAACCACAAGCTCAAAAACAATGGTTATGGAGTAACATATACAGCCTTCACACAAGCACTTCTGATAAAGCCGCTAACTGCTTTGGAGAGAAACTGATTACTTCAGTTGGATATGCCCAGGTGTAACTAGGCTATCCTGATTGTGGAGGACAACACAGTGCAGTTGACATATGATTCCTCTTATTGCCTTTAATCTCCTTTTGTATAGGTCTGATATGGGTATAATATTTTAGCAATGTACTTCTCTGTTCCTCACTCATTTTTCTGCAACAAGATTGTACCCACCCCTCAGTCGCTAGCATCAATTGCTATTTTCTAAGCTTGTAAGTTATACAAGCCTACAGCACCGAAAAAGCCCTTCGCATCAAGTCTGTGCCGTTGAAAAACAGACGCCTAACTGTTTTAATCCCATTTTCCAGTACTTGGCTTATATCCTTGTATGCATTGGCATTGCAAGAGTGCGTCTAAACACTTTAAAAATCTGGAAAAAGCAACATCTTGTGAAGAAAAATCGGAGTTAACAGACCTGTTGAGCTTTTCCAGCAACTTCTCGTTGTGTTCCTGATTTACAGCATCCACAGTTCTTTCAGTTTTTGTTTAGAATATGAGCGACAACTGACTCAATTGTACAGTGTTATATCTGTCTGATTTACACAGCCATTGGGTCCTGCTGTCAATTGCTAAAACCGCTCAGTGTATAAAGATCATCTTGGAAGGCAAAAGCCATGTCCTTGTTTTTGTTTCTCCCCACCACCTTCTCCCTCCCCCCCCCCCCCCACAGAAAACAATCCTCTTTCATTGCTGTTTTCAGCATCTCCCCTGTAACAATGTATGAGGAGCGTATGGACCTTTTTGGTGCTAATGTTGAGACCATCTGATCAGCTGCCTCTGACACATGTCTTCCATTAGTCTACCTGCCAAATACTTACTACATAATCTTGTGCCTTCTCTGAACTCCATTGGAGCACTTTTGTCAGCCCTGTCTGTTTCCGCTTCTTAATGTTTGACTTTGTCCCTGATGCAGTTCATCCACTTCTCCATGAGACCCATTGTATGGTCCCCATGTTGACCAATATTAGTAATAGCTCCTCTACTCCTCTTTAGATCTGCTGTTATCGCTGCTCTCTTCAAAACAGCTCTGATCAATTTATTCTTGCACATCACTCTTGCATCCAGAACCTCCTTTTTAATTCTCAAATTCTTGAATGTGTAGTGGCTGTTAAAATCACTTACATTCTTTCCCAGAACTCCATGTTCAAATCCCTTCAACTAGCTTTGTGCCCTGCTATGTGCCAAAATGCTGTTCATGTCACAAATGACACCTCATCTAACATTACAAAAGCTAATTGTCCTTCTGCATTCTTTTTGACCTATCTATAGCCTTTGATATGGTTGATCACACTGTGCCTTTCCAACATTACTTGTTGCCCAGCTGGATGGAGCTGCTTATTATATGGTTTCATCTTTATCTACCTAAATGTAGGCAGAACATCATTTCCAAACCCTTTTCTTGCTCTTACTCCATTTGAATGTGGTACCTCCTAAGGATCTATCCCTTGCCTGTTCCTATTTCTCCTCCACGTGCTGCTCCTCTGTATTGTCATCTGAAAGCACAGTATTAGTTTTGACATATTTTGTTACCCAACTTCACATTTTTCAACTCCTGTACTGTTGTTAAATTTAGACCTGCTTATTTGATAACTGAATTTTAAGACTGAAGCCATTGTCTTCGATGTCTGCTGAACACATTCCTTTGTTAATGACTCCATCCCATTCTCTGTCAACTGTCTGAATCAGCCTATTCACAACCTTGATGTCCACAACAAGCTTCTAATCTCTTTGCACCATTACTTCCATTTACTGTTTCTAGCTAAAATCATACAGTACAGAAGAAAACTTTTTTAACATTTCTAGACTTTGTCCATTCCAGAACTCCTTCATGCCTTTGCAAACTGCTGCCTTTGACTACTCCAGCACATTCCTTGCTTGTCTTCCACATTTTTAAACTTGAGGTAATCTAAAACTCTACCTGTGTCCCAACTTGCACCAAGTTCTGTTCACTTTTTTTTAAAATTCCTGTACTTATTGATCTAAATGGTTCCTGGTTAAGCAGTGCTGATTTTGTAATTCTCCTACTTAATTTCAAATCCCACAGTGGCCTTGACAGTTCCTATCTTTGTAGTTTCTGACCGCTCCACAATCCTATAAAATATCTGCATTCATCTAATTCTGACCTCTTGTATATCACCATTTTTACTTGCTCCCCCATTTTGTGGCAGTGCCTTCAGCTGCCTTATTTTAAGCTCTGGAATTCATAACCTACACCTCTCTGCTCTCTACGCTCCTTGTGTTTCTCACGCTCTTTTAAAATGACTTGTTTGGCCAACCTTTGGTAATCTGACCTAACAGGCTGAATCTTACATTTTTTTTCTAACTAAACATGAGTTGTTCCATGAGGTCTAGTGAGTTTTCTTGCCATGCCTTGCAATATTTTCTCATTATCTACTTATCAATCTCCTATGGCATTCTTCGCATTTGATTTGATCCCCTCTTATCATTCACTGCTCTTGGAACAATTTGCCAATGCCCAGATATTTTGGAATTAGTTAGTATCCCTTGTGACTGTGCTATCTCTAAAATCCTGTTGTACACTTGATAAGCACTGTCAGGCTGGAGCTGTCCTGCACGATTCCTTATATGGCAGAGGGTAAAATTGCTTTGTGGGCTGCATCCTGCAGGTCCTGCTGGACGGGTGGTACACAGCTAAGACTGCCTGTTCCCCCAGGGCCAGTAGAGGAGGCCATGACACCAAACCTTGCCAGGCTGGTGGTCAGAGGTTGGTTATAGGAAGAAGATCTATAAATTCCACCAGCCTAAGTACCACCATCTTTCTCCAGTATCTCTCAATCACTCTATTGCTGCTACTGTACACTTCTCCCACCAAGGCTTGTGTTGTACCATTCTCGCTATTGCCTGCAATGCTTTTTAATGGTTATATTTAATGGTTAGTTTTTGGCAAAGTGATCTCGAATCTTTGTCCCGAAGATGGTGCCACAGGTGGGTGAAGAAACCAAAAATATTTTTCTTGCAAATAGCATCTGGTTTGAAAAAGATAACCAGAAAGAATAGCAAAACTCAAATTATTTACTGGAAATTCATGTTATACTTTACTTTGGTTGGACAAAATTTAAATGAGATTAGAATTCTTGGCTGAAAGTGAGCAAATAAGATGACATTATATAAAGACTCAGGCTTGCATTTAATATACTGCATAGTCCTATTGCATTTGGTTTTACCTTGCCATGTATTTGAGCATCTGAGCTTAGCATGTATTTGGGCCCAGTTTGAAGAAGACCATATTAGAGTCATAACAGGGAAACCAGACCTTTTGGTCCAACTTGTTCATGCCGACCAGTTATCCTAGATAAATCGAGTCCCATTTGCCAGCATTTGGCCCAATCCCTCTAAACCTTTCCTATTCGTATACCTTTTTCAGATTCCTTTTAAATGTTGTAATTGTATCCGCCTCCTCCACATCCTCTGGCAGCTCATTCCATACATGCACCACCTTTTCTGTGAAAAGGTTGACCCGGAGGTCCCTTTTAAATCTTTCCCCTCTCACTTTAAACCTTTGCCCTCTAGTTTTGGGCTCCTACACCCTCGGAAAAAGACCTCATCTGTTCCCCCCTCCATGCCCTTCTTGATTTTGTAAACCTCTATAAGGTCACCCCTCAGCCTCAGAAGCTATTCTTGTAAAGCATCATGAAGTTCACTCAAATTCAGTTTGGAACTACCAGAGACCAAGTAAACCTTTAGATGGCAGCCATGACTGAGTATCCGTATTCTTTTAATGGTACAGGCTATATTTGGTTATCTTGCAAGAATCTGAACTGCAAGCAAACTGTTGGAACTTTAGACTTTTGCTGAGGTGTAGAATTGCACTGTGTGGTTATCATTTGACTATGCTTTCTTAGAATATTAGTCAAGTATTAATTGTTCTCTACCATTGGAACTACATTCCTCACTGAAGAGTCATCAGTTGACTGCATTATATTCTAGTTTTACAGGTTACACGGTGCCTGACAATAGGTCTGCACAATTCTTTTGTAGTCTGTACTTTGTAGCCCTGTAGTTAGTGATGTGTATGTACACTAATATAAAATGTTTTTATGATGCAGGTATTTTGTTCTGAATTGCGAGTTGGGCGTTCTGCAGTACTTTGTAAACGAACAATGCAAAGGTCAGAAGCCACGAGGAGTTCTACATTTGTCTGGTGCATTGATCTCTCCCAGTGATGAGGTTTCCCACATGTTTATAGTCCAAGCTGCCAGTGGTGAACTGTATAAACTCCGAGGTACTGAAATAACTACATTTTTACTCACTAAGATGCTGCATAAGCTTTAAGCTGTTAGGAAAAGATTCACTATTTTTACGAAGCCCACTTAGTGATGATCAAAATAATATTTGTCTTGAATTTTGTCAAATTGGCCTCATTCGGGATTAGAATTGAATTTGTTACATTGGAAGGTAATCGTAGCAGTTCACTTAGTTTATCCAACATGAAGGCCATAGGTTTGAATTCCATAGTATCATCTTGAAACATCATTTGTTGAATCTTCTTTGAATGGAGCATCCAAGAACAATGGGAGCAGGTTTGGAATTGCATGCTGTAGATAAATCTCTTGGAAGGGAAAAAGTACAACAGGCAGAAATTACGTTCTGCTGAATACCAGTGTCTGATGGCCTAGTAGATTGGTTAACAGACAGGAAACAGTAGGGATAAATGAGGCACTCTAAATTTGATGGGCTATGACAAGTGGAATATTGCAGCCTTGTCTTTATGTTCTGAATTGCTTGACTAATTTGGAGAAATAAGATTGTTCATTTCAAGTCATAGTGTAATGAAATCAGTTTTCCTTTTTGGCTCGATGTCCACAGCTAGTCAGAGCACAATGATAGTGGATTAATTAGAAGTTGTAACATTTTAAGGTACAGATTGTTCCATTGGCTACTACATTTGAGTTTGCCGAAGAACAGAAGTGGGACCCTGTGGGAATATTTTAATCAGTCACACTAGTCAGTTAAAGGTCAGTAAACAGCGATATCCAATGAACAGTTAGTCAGAGGCAAAGATGAATGTGACTAATCCATGGAGCTGAAGAGCTGGAGTCTCAGTGAGGCCTAGGAGCTGTTTGGTAGCTCGATTGTGTTTTGGTGTTTGTGCAGTTTTGGTGGTCTTAGAGGATGGATATTCTGGCTGTGGAGGGGTTTCAACGAAGATTTACCAGACTGATTCCTGAGATGGCAGCACTGATGTACGCAGAAAGACTGGATTGGTTAAGACAATATTGAGAGAAGTTGAGAAGAATGAGGGGGAAATTTCATAGAAACCTTTACAGTTCTAACCAGAGTAGATAGGGTAAATGCTGAAAGGATGTTCCTGCTAATCAGCTGTTCAGAACTAGGGGTTACAGTTTCAGAATGCAGGAGATGCCATTTAGGACTGAGATGAGGAGAAATTTCTTCACTCAGATTATGAACCTATGGAATTGTATGCCACAGAAGTGGTTGAGGCCAAAACATTGAATTTTTTTTTTAAGAAGCAATTATATATAGTTGGTTAGTGTCTTAGAGATCCACAGCATAGAAAAAAGGCCCTTTGGCCCATCCAGTCTGCACCAGTCAAAAACAGCCACCTAATTATTCTAATTCTATTTTCCAGCACTTGGTCAATAGCCTTGAATGCCTTGATATCGCGAATGCACATTTAATACTACTTAAATGTCTGAGGTTTCTGCCTATACCGCCGTAACAGGCAGAGAGTTCAAAAATGGGTGAAAAATTTTTTCCTCACATCTACTCTAAATCTCCTGTCCCTTAAATCTATGTCCCCCTAGTTATTGATGCCTTCACCAAGGGGAAAAGTTCCTTCCTGTCTACACTACCTATGGCCCTCATAATTTTATACATCTCAATCATGTCCCCACTCCCCTCTGTTTTCTCTGGTCCAAGGAAGACTACTTCAGGCTTTCCAAACTTTCTTCATAACTAAAACCCTTCAGCTCAGAAAACATCCTGGTAAATCTCCTCTATCCTCTCCAGTGCAATCACATCCTGCCTATAATATGGATTCCAGAACTTCACACTCTTCTGTGGACTAACCAATGCTTAATTCAGCTCCAGTGTAACCTTCCTGCTCTTAAACTCTTGTGCTTCAGCTAAAGGCAAGTTTCCCATATGCTGGTTGGCCATTTTATCTACCTGTCCTGCTACCTTAAGGGACTGATGGACCCTCTGATCTTTGGCACTTATATCCTCACACATTCTCTTCCATGGGAAGACAAAAAACTGACTGGTTGACCAATTTGCGGAACACCTACTTTTCAGTTTGTAAAAATGACTCCGAGCTTCCAGTTGTCAGCCACTTCAACACACCGCACCATTATGTTCCCATGCCAACGTTTCTGCTCAGGCCTGTTAAAGTGCTCGAGCCAGAGTCAATGCAAGCTGGAAGAACAACATCTCATCTTCTGCTTTGGTATATCACCAGCCTTCAGGACTCAACATTGAGTTTCATAATTTCAGAGCATGAATACCTCCTTTCATGTCCATTACTTAGCTCACACTCCAGGTCTGTCATTAAATGGGTTGCCTTCAGCACAAGACAAAAAAAAACTGCCAAAGTAACACTATTGTTCAAAAAGGGTGGGAGATAAAAAGGATGGGTAATTATTGCCAGTTAGCTTAGCATCTCTTATTGGGGAATGTTAGGATAAAGGATGTAATATCAGAGCATTTAGTAACGTAATCAAGCAAAATCAACATGGTGAGTGGGCATAAAGAAGAAATCATGCTTGTTACTTTGTGCGTTAAGTGGGGTTCCCTTACCTTCAGTAGGCACTGTATAAGCATTTAGGAATTGGTCAGCTAGTTAGTAAATAGATAATCTCCAAGTGACATACTTTAAAATTTTGCTAATTCATCATTGTTGCTAAACTTAAAAGGCTGGAACTCTGTGGATAATGCCATCGCCTTAATTTCACAAACTGCAGTGGCTCAAGAAGATGTCTCTTCATTGGCTTGTACAAGTATAAGAGGGTAATAGATGGTGGCTCTTTCCAACAGTGACTGCATCCCATTCAATTTGCGGTAAATGATGCAAAAGAAAATGTAGCCCAGATTGAAAGTTGATAACAGGAGACAAATGATGGGTTTGGAGCTGGATTGAAAATGGTGTATAATGGGAATGCATGCTGAGTTTATAATTTACTGTCCATGTATACGTGCTTTGGATACGCACCATATATTTGTTTCAGAAGTTATATGGGTTGAATAATGGAAGACTTAGATGCAGGCAATTTTGCAGAATGCATACCCATTTGGCAAACATAATCTAGTGTAGAGAAGTATGTAGTGATGCAATATGGGAGTACATGTTTAATAGATGCAAACTGAAAAGTTCAATAGAGATGATTGTTGTGTGAAAATGTCTAACTCTTTTTAAGAATGCAAATTAAGATATCTAAAACAAAGTCCCAGATCAGAGAAGCAATTTAATGATGGATTTGTCTAAGGCAACAGTTAGGGTATGTGTGCAGTTGCAGGTTCTGAATTACAGAAAGGCTGTTAAAACCAAAGATCTTACACAGATGTGTAAGCTGCTGATGTTACTGGACATGTCAGATTCCAGACTGAAATCTGGCTTGTTAGATCATATTTTGGTTTCGATTTTACAAGGTGATCTTTACTGAAAAATAAGCATCCAACTGGTTTTAACCATGTGACAAGTTTATTGTGCAGAATAAAATAGCATATGTATTGTTATATGCATTGAAAGCAATTTGAAAAATTTTGAAACCTAGTTTTAAAAAAAAAGCCCATCTATCCCAAGACTATCACTTTGCAGTACTCTACGTAAGAGGGTGTTCCCTACATATATAGGTTTATCTTAACTATTTCAACTTTCGACTCCCAACTTTGAGTTTTGTGGCCGTTTCTTTGATTTGTCACTAAACTGATCCTACGCCCCCCTCATCTTGGATGAACCCTTTCTAACCCGTTCTAACCAAACATCTGCAGCACAGAGAAAGGCCCTTTACCCATCACATCTGTGCCAGTCAGAAACAACCACTCAACTATTTTAATCCCATTTTCTACCACTTCGCCCAGAGCCATGGATGCCTGGGCATCACAAGTATACATCTAAATACTTCCTGAATATTATTAATATCATCCTGCCTTTGCCACCATTTCCTGGAAGTGAGTTCCAGATATCCACCATCCTCTGGGTGAAAAAGATTTTCCTCCCAACTTCTTTAATCGTTTTATCCCTTACCTTTAAATCTATGCCCCTGGTCACTGTTGTCCAAGTGCAAAAGTTTCTTCCTGTCTACCCTACCTATGTCGCTCATAATTTTATACATCTCAGTTGCCTTCTCTCAATCTCCTCTGCTCTAAGGAAAATGACCCAGTCTGACCGATCTGTCTTCGTAACTAAAACTCGCTAGCCCCAGCAACATCTGGTCAATCTCCTCTATGCCATCTCCAGTATTATCACTTCTCTCCTGTGATGTGGATTTCGGAACTGCCCGCAAAGATTTAGCTGTGGTCTCACCAATGTTTATACAGTTCCAATATAACCACCTTGCTCTTAACTCTATGCCTCAACTGATAAAAGCAGGTATCCTGTATGCTGCTTTAACCACTTTGTCCACTTGTCCTGCTATCTTAAGGGATCTATGGACGTGAAACCAAGGTGGTGCTGCCCAGGATCCTGCCATTCACCATGTATTTCCTTACCTTGTTTATCTTGACAAGTGCATCACCTCACATGTATGAAAATTGAATTCCATTTGCCACTGATCAGCCTATTTGACCAGCCCACGTATATATTATTGTAATCTTAAAGCTACCGTTCTCACTATTTATACCCCATCAATTCTGCACGTTTACTAATCAACCCTCCTACATTCAAGTCTAAATCATTTATGCAAACCATAAACCGTAAGGGCTCCAACATGGACCCCTGTGGGACCTCAGTGGATGCAGACCTCCAGTCGGATAAGCATCTTTCAACCATCACCCTCTGCTTCTTGCTACAAAGCCAATTGTGGATCTGATTTGCTAAACTTCCTTGGATCCCATGGACTATTACGTTTTCTGTTAATCTCCAAAGTGGGGCCTTTATCTAAAGCCTTGCTAAGGCCAAGTAGACCATCTCAAAAGCATTGCCCTTATCTACATTCCTGGTCACCTCTTCGCAAAATTCATTTAACAAAATCATGTTGACTTTCCTTGATTAATCCCTTTCTCTCCAAATCCAGACTCATTCTATACCTCAGAATTGCTTCCAAT